GGTCACTCGCTTTCTCCTCCTTTCCCGCCGGTCGGAGCCGTGGGGTGGGTGCAGGAGCTCCGAGGGACCCCAGCCCCGGCGGGGCAGGAGGCAGCTGGAGGCGTCGGGACTTCAGACTGGGCCCTGAGGAAAGTCAGGGACACATCCAGGCCGGGCTGCACTCCTGTCACCCGTCTGTTTCTGCCCTACGTTGGGTGATGGTGAATTCTCCCTGGTGACATGGTGTTTAGGCCAGTCCTGCTGCTGCTCTTCTGGCCTCTTGTGTCCCTCAAGCAGCAGGAGGACATGACAGCTGCTTCAGTCCACCCTCAGTCTTCTATTAGCTGGAGCTTCTGATGGATCACCTTCCAGAGCTGTCTCTGGGATGGGCGTCTTAAACAAGTGAGGATCGAGACTCGAGGAGAACCCCAGCTTGCCTCCAGTACACAGGCTTTCCCACTCCTTGTCCCACCATTTCTGCCCCCAGGAGGGCACGCAGTGTTCAGCTTTGCTCCCTTTTTCCATGTGAGATCTTCCCTACCACAATTCAGCCACTCTGGCTTGCCTGGGGAGGGCACGGGTTGGTTGTGTCTGTCTGGTATGGATTGCCTCCAAGGCAAAGATCTTCACTGGCTAATGGGTTTTGCTGTCATGGAAACATGAGAATAGGAGAGAGCAAGAAAATGTCACTGCCTTCCTCTAGGTCTAATGTTACCATCTCTTGGGCTTTTGCTGTAGGTGCAGGGACCAGTTATAGTAGAGGATACCTGCTTGTGTTTCAATGCCCTGGGTGGGCTTCCAGGACCGTACATGTAAGTAGGACAGCTCTTGCTTCACTCTTGAAGTCCTAAACTTAGGAGCACAGGTTGGCAGGGTGTGCTTTGTGGAAGATTCTCCACACACCAGGAGCAATAGGCTCATGGTGCAAGATGAGAGACAGACTCGAATTGTTGTTTCTGGCTCCTGATCTACAGTGACTGGGAACCTGGTCCCACTGCAGGCGCTGCGTAGTTAAGGCACTAGGAGTTTCAACAGGACTCTGGGATGACTGCCCTGTAGGTTCTCATAGGGACTGCTTTAATTCAGCAGATAACATTATTGCACTATATTGTAACACTCTTCTAATAAAATACCGCCTTAGCCTCCTGGATTTAACTTTTAGTGGGATTAAGTCTACTAAACGATCTCCACTGAGCTAAGCAGAGACATAAAAGCTTTATATGATGAAATTGGCACTAGAACTGGGTGTGAGATGTGAATGGGCTGAGCAATGTCTGTTGGTGTGTCAGTCCTCACGAGTAAGAACTGGGTTATTTACACAGACCCCAGTACTGCAGTAAATAAAATACCCTGCTGCTGTTTTCATGGTGTTCCGTGCAGTTTAAGAGCTAAGTCTGTCATTATTGGTAAATAGTCCAGAATGAGGTGATTGCCCAGAGAAGCTGTGGATGCCCCATCCCTGGAAGTGTCCAAGGCCAGGCTGGATGAGGCTTGGAGCAACCTGGTCTAGTGGAAGGTGTCCCTGACCATGGCAGGGGGGTTGGAACTAGATGATCTTTAAGGTCCCTTCCAACCCAAACCATTCTATGCGTCTGTGATTTAAGAGGGATTCAAAGGGCTATGCAAATGTAGGCAGTGGTGTCTCTAGGATGTCTGTATTTCTGAGAAATAATAGCAAATATTAATCTTTTCTCTCTTCTTCCCCATCAGAAAATGGTTCCTGGAAAAACTCAAACCAGAAGGTACTGCCTCCCGTGCTACTACTGCATGTAACCAGTCCTTCCCAAATGAAATGTATTCCTGCCCGTGCTGGGTTCTACTAAGCGTGTTTGCCCACTGTGCTGCCTGTTTCGCACCTGGTCCCTTTCCTGTCTGTCCAGTTCTGTTCCCTCAGGTTCTCCTTGTGCCCTTCTTCACAGGATGTTGTTTCCCCCAATAGCTTCAGCATCATCCCTGAATTCCCAGACTCCTGCCTCTGCAGGCTGGTGGCAAGGCTTGTGGGAACTTCTCGTCTGCCAGCAGTGTGACCTGGAAGTTATCCTGCTCCCTCTGGCTTCTGTATGAGCCTCTCTCCACTAATGCCCACCTCCCTGGCCTGCAGTGACTGCCTTTGGTCCCGCAGTTCAGAGCCTAACTGCAAATCCTGCACTGCCATCACAAGCATGAGTGTTGATCACGCTAATTCAGAGCGGGCTTTAGTCCCCTCAGGCGCTGCGTGCTTGTTTGCTTCCGCTCCCAAATTAATAGCAGGACCCTACGGCTCATGCTGCGTTAGGTCTGAGGGGCTGGGCCAAGAGCATCCCTTGTGCCTGAGCTTTGTCACCTCCTGTAGTTCTCTCCCTTGGGGCTGTGAGTGCAGAACGTTCCCTCGGTCTGTCTCTGGGTGGGTGTGCTGTGCTCCGAGGGAAAGGCAGAAACGCCGGGATCCTTTCTGTGTTGCTCAGGCCTGTACAAGCTGCTGGCTGGATTTGAAGACAAATCTGCCTACGCTCTCTGTACCTTCGCATTCAGTACTGGAAACCCAGAGGAGCCAGTGAAGCTGTTCAAAGGCCAGACTCAGGTAGGTGGTGTGCCTGGGGAAGGGAACGCGCTGAGGGAAGGCTGCAGTGTGAATTTTGTAACAGCATTGGCTCTGCTGAGGGTAACTAGTGGCTCCTGGATCACTGAAAGCCCTTGGAGCTTGTTGAGAACAGGCTGAGGGAGAGCATGGGTGGTGGGTGCTGCGGCCTCCTCACCCAGCTGTAGGTACTGAACTCTGCATGTCACCTCTGGCTCTTCAGCCCCTTTGTCTCCCTCTGTATTTGAGCGCAGTCGTTAGCTCCGTTAACTGGAAGGGTAAAGGGGTTGTCAACGCAGGGCAGCGTGATGGGGCTGCTGATTTTGGTTACGTCTCGGAGAGGTGCGGGGAAGGACAGCAACACGCACTGTGGTGGCCACAGCGAGAGCTATAGCTGCGTGTAGCTCTTCAGTCTGTGTCTGAGGTGTGGGTAGGAGGGAATGCTGTGAAACTGCAGCTTACGGGGCTTTTTTGCTCTCTTGGGGTAGGGGCTGATAGTGGAGCCCAGAGGCCCTCGAGATTTTGGCTGGGATCCCTGCTTTCAGCCAGATGGCTACAACCAGACGTAAGTGATGTTTTACCTACAGCTCTTTATGTGAGAAAAGCCAGGGTGGAGGTTGTGTGTGGAGGGAAACCTGCTTACGAGCTGTAGCATCTCCACCACTGAGACTTGTGGTTTCTCTCCCCTCCAGCTACGCCGAACTGCCCAAGGCAGTGAAGAACTCCATCTCCCACCGTTACAGAGCGCTGAGCGAGCTCTCTGCCTTCTTTCTCCAGAGCAACTCGACAGAGCTCCGCTCCGGTCCCAGCTAGCCTCCCCGGGGCTGCGTGCAGCCTGCGTCTGTGTCGGGCAACGTCTGTGTCGGGCACCCCACACGTGTGTCGTATACCGCCCCGGCAGGCCTCTGCTCTGCTGCGGGCTGTCATTAAAGCTGCTCCCTTTAAAGCCACGGGTGTGTTTTCCCCAGGTTTCTGTTGCCTCAGAAGCGCCGTGCGGCCCAGCGGGTCTGGATTATTTAGGCTGCACGTTTGTGCCT